CCTCTAGTAGGGATTTTTCAGCCAAGGCTGTTGTAAGGCGATTTTCCATTTCTAGACTTGTATCTTAGGGTCTCTGTCAGTGCCAGCAGGGTTTAGAATTTGGGATCTGCTTCATGCTGTGATGCCTGGAGTAAATTCTATCCTCAGCTTTTGCAAAGTAATGGGGTTTGAAACACCGTTGTTGTATTTTAAAGTTCTAGTCAGTGCTGGTTTATTTGTGCTCATGGTAGAAGAAGAATGATAGTTAGTCATCAAAAATACTTTGGGGCTATATTTTGGGAATTGGGACAGCCCATTTTCCTTCCTGATTGATACTGTTGAGGCTTAAACCAAATGGATTTGACTTCTGTGAGTATATACTAGTTAATGTGAGAAGGCAGGCCTTGCATGTTCTAGGTTGTATGAGGAAGGTATCTTGAGGTTAAGATTTTGCTGTGGATAATCTCTAGGGTCATGAGTCACACTCTTCATACCTCAAGGAATTCAATTCAGGAGCAAGTTACGTTTATTTTCAAGTTGATGAAGAGGTAGTTTTAGCTAACTTCTACTCTTATCCCTACAAATGAGGGGGAGAGAGAGAAGACTGGTTACATTGCCACACAACAGTCGTAGAAAGCTAAAATAAGAGACCATGTGTTGTCAAACCAGTTCAAAAGAAAGTCAGTTGAAAATCAGTACTGAGCCCACTTTGGAAACAGTTTGGCAATTGCTAAAGCTGAACATATGCATGCCCTGTGACCCAGCATTTCCATTGCTGGGTATTATAATCAACAGAAATGTACACTTATGTGCTTCAAAGGCATGTACAAGAATATTCACAGCAGCACCATTCCTAATAACCAGAAATAACCACCTAAATATCCATCATCCATAGAATGGATAAGTAGATTGTGATCTATTCATTCAGTGGAATACTTCATGGCAATGAGAATAAAACTCCTTTTACATGCAACAACATGGGTGAATCTCACAAACATACTGTTGAGCGAAAGAAACCAAAGAAAAAAAGAGTGAAAACTATGTAATTCTATGCACATAAAGTTATTGGGTTTTTTTTTTTTTTTTTTTTTTAAGACAAATCTGTTGATGGGGAGAGCTAGCAGGGGAACAAGGGGAGAGGCTTCTGGGATGCTGGTATTGTTCTGTTTCTTATTATGGGTGCTGATTACAGAGATGTGTTCACTTTGTACATCAAACTGCACACTTATTTGTGCACTTTTGGTGTATAGATTTTAATTCAACAACAACAAAAAATACAAATTAGGGGTAACACTGGCCTGTATTTATGTAAGAGAAAATATGTCCATCCTAATCTTGAAATAACTTGCTTGGACAAGCAAGCATTTTCCTCAAAAATCGTTCTCAGGAAATCTTCTCAGGCTATTTTGGTTAGTGTAAATTCCTTTATCTCAAGCTAGGCTGGAGGGATACAAGTCCATGGTTCTAAAAGTATCTCCAGTACAGGTAATATATAGCACAGCGATTCCCATCTTAGACTACCCACCAGAACTACCTAGGAGCCCTTAAAAATGCCAATCCCCAGCATTCCACCCTGCATTCTGAGTTAGTTGTTCCAGGAGTGAGGTCTGAGCTTCAGTATTTTTTTTTTAAAGCTCCCAGGTGATTCTTATGTGCAGTCAGGTGAAGGACCACTGATCTAGAGGCTCATCAAAAATCTCAGGAGAGAGACCAGGGATTATAAATAAATGGAAACAGAACTACCTTTTCATGTGAGGGTATGTTGGCTTGGAGAAAGAATGAAGTTTGCATTGTTTCTGATGTAATCCACTTATGGGATTTTAAAAAATGCATTAGAACCAGGGCATTAAAACATTTTCCTTTTCCATTCATTTCTTCCACAATATTTGCTAAGTGCCTCCTCTGTGCCAGGTATATCAAAGTGGAATTCCTTCCCTACCCCCATGTATGTATGGGACCCGCACTTATTACTCTGTTAACACTCTGAGCATCCAACTTGAATGCAGAGTGTGATATACACAATAGCTATTTCTGCTCAGCATTGTCCTTACTAAATCACAATCGGCCACTTTGGTGCATGATGTTCTAAGTATAAAGGAAGACTGAAAGAAGCCTAGGCACCGTGTTGAGTGCAATTTTCAGGAAAGAGCAAGAAATCGAACATTTTAAACCAATAAGTAAAAGCTAGAGAGAGAGAGAAATGTTAAAATATCATCTTATTTTCCTGAAGTATTTTCCATCCAATCTTGTACAGTCAAAATGAGCATTTAAGTGTGGGGAAAAAAACCCGCTGAACATCTCAGAGAAGACTAGAGGGTGTCAGGTTTCTTGATTAGAAGAATTTATCATCAAAGGCAAAAGAGAAAAGATGGTAATGATAAAAAAAAAAAAGCCCTCCAAGTGATCACAAATTAATGGTGCAAAATCAAGAAAACAAAAGTAGGTGTTATTCTTGTTCATTTAAACTGTAGTTTTCTCCATTTCATGTGTGTTCTTTAAAACCACTTAATTGTATTTGACATTGAAAATCTAATAGGGCCTTTTGTTTTCAGCCAATTTACTAATTGCAAAATATGTCAGGAATCAAAAGGGCAGGAAGTGTTGGTATATTTTTTAAAAATATATAACTCCTTTTTAATTTTTTTTCCTATTTTCCTTATCCATTTAGGCAGTGACTTTCAATTAGCCTGCCTACTAATATCAGGTCACTAAACTCCATGGCTGACGCTTTATTCCTTCATGTGGGTTGTCACTCGTTTGCTTCAGTTGGCTGGCAAAGGTTGTTGTATATCCATTACCAGCAACACAGCACTTTGCATTTCTGAATTGACAAGCAGCTATATTGACCCAGCGCTTATTATGGGTCAACAGCTGCGTTAACCAACGGAAGGACTGAGGGGCAATTAAAATGAATTGGCAAAAATATATCTTCCTAATTTACTCCAATTTGTTATTTATGCTAACATTGTATGGCTTCTATGGTGACACTAAACAGAATGGACCCAATAATGGCAATTAACATAAAAATATAATGGCTAATCAAATTGACAGCAACTGTTTCTCATCATCTCGACACACAATACATTATCAAAACAAACTATTATGAAGGAGGTAATTTCAGTGTTCTATTCAACCTGCAGCATGTGTGCAGTCAGGGAGATGTGTACCAGCAATTACTGCTGAATCTAAAAAACTAAACAAATAACTTAATCGCTGTCGTCCTCCTTTTTTTTCCCCCAGGAAGCAGTAATCAGGATTCGCTAAAAATAACTGATGTATAATAGTATAATGATGATGCATATTGTAGAATAGCTAATAAGAAATAAAATAGGTTTCTAGGTGTATACTTTTTAAAATAGGTTCAGGTAAAGAAAGAGAGACTCGTAGAAGGAATGAACACACAAAAAAAGACAATAGCTCTGGCTGATGAATAGCTCCATATGGGTTATTCCTGCAGCCTAATATTTATAGATACCCTTTATAATGGCCAAAGATGTTTAAAATACACAAAATTTAGTAACAGATTTTGTAATACACTTAACAAGAAGGTCAGTCTTTGAGCTCTAATTGAATTTCAGTTACTTCTGTACCAAGTTGAATTTGACTATGGTTTTTTATCATTGATAGTGAGCTAGGATCCTTGGATCCAATACTTAGTTTCCCAAGGGATTCCCTTCAAAAATAATGCTGTTTCCGTATCCAGTTGTAGGTAGTGGTTTTCCTTAAGTTCCTAGTGGTGTGCTAGTCTGTGGGTGCCACCGGACCCTGCCGCATGGATTGTACAAATGACTTGGTTGTCATGGTCATTCATTGATTAATTCATTCAGCCAGCATCTATCTGTGGAATGCTTACTGTGTGAGTTAGCTGTATGTATGTTTGTCACTGGTACCCAATCTGGCACACAATAGCTGGTCATTGGATGTTGGTTGGATTTCATGTTCATCCAAGGCAGCAAGTGAGAGCTGATAACGTGTTTGTTATTTGAGCTTCTCATTTGAGAAGTTCTGAGGGTTCAGTTGTTTCACCTTGGTAGGACACCCCCACTCCCAAAGAAAACATCAAAGCTCTTGCTCATTGTCCTTCAGCATGAGGGTTTCCCAAGTATCTAACTTCATAGGAAGAAGGAAAGAAAGTTCCTAGGGCAGTTGATTTTAAATTAAGAGAAATGCACTTGAATGCGATTCACCACATAATTGTTACTTTGGTTGTTGAATTGGCTGCGTGTGTTTTTCCCACCGCACAGTGTGAGGGACGGTTGCTTAGGAGAACACACAATGACTCTAGATAACCCCAGGAATATCAGTGTTCCTTATATGTTTGCTGAATGAATAGTAGTTCGGGCACATCTCCTATGATGTTGAATTAGAACTTGCCAAAGTCACTAAACATTTGTTTTGACGTGGGTGGGATGAAAAACCTCAGTTATTTCATTTCCCCCAGTATCTCTAAGAGGTCATATGTTGCCCACTTAGGATTAGCACAGAACAAGTGGTTAAAATGTTCCTCGAGACTGTGTTTTATTTACCATGTCGTGTCTTTGAGCCAGTCCCTGGCAAGGGCAGTAGATTTCCACAAGTCATAAAATTCGGCTCATAGTATGGCAGTATATGTTAAACGGTTTTCAGAAATTGTTTAACTTCTTGCTACCACGGACAGGTCCCAGTTAGGAAGCACAGTACCACTTTTCCCAATTAACAGTGCAAATTGTCAAGGGTGCATAGGAATTTGCAATTTGACAAAATCAGTTTTTTGACAGCAGGGGTAATCAGTCTGCAGCTTCGCAAGTAGTAATCTATGATCGAAGTGGCAGGATTTATTCTAAATTATGAAAGGTATGTATGCTATATGAGGGGGACAAATCATTAGTATGATTCTCTCCTTATTCAACCCCCCTTCTTTAAAAAAAAAAAAAAAGCTGCTTGATATAGAAGTTGAGAGTAGGGAATACACTCTGTTGAGAGTGATCTCCGTCGCTCCCCTCGCCAGTAGTAGTATTCATTTATTTTCTGTTCTATTGCAGTATTCTGACAAGTCCCTGTACACCCAGCTGTGCTTTTACCGGTACATTTTTGATGCGGACTGTGCACTGGAGAAACTTACTACCGATCATGAGAAAGGTACGTTAAAATACTGTAATTACCTTTGAGTTTAAAGTGGAAATTTGCATCATAAAAGCCAGACCTACTGTCAGGCTGTTCATGCAGCATCACACCGCTGTCTCAGAAGCAGGCCGTGGGGGCCCTTGTGAGCACAGGCTTCCCCTGCATGAGGGGCGGTGGTATAGGAATCCCCGGCTTTGGTCCCCACAGCCTGTTTCACATTGTTCTCTATTAAAGCAGGGCTTTGGGGGAGGAACAGTACAAAAAGGACTCTTTAAATGCTATATTTTGAAAATGCTATTTTCTATAGAGTTTAGTAATTGTAATAAAGTAAGCATAGGCAACGTGATCATTGGACCTACAAAAACCAGACATTACTACAGAAAAATAGACCTGGAGTGTGTCTCTGCTGTTCACTAAAAGCCTAGGTTCGTTTTGAAAGAGAGGCATGAGGTGGAGTTATTTATTGACTCCATCCTAAGAGAGCGTATCTGCACCTTCGCCCAGATGATTGGGTGCTGCCCGTAACCCTCACACAGGACTTGCAGGCACTGTGGAATTTAATGGGTCTGGGAAAAGCTTTGTTCCATAACAAAGTATTTGAAAATGTCTTGACAAGTGCATGTTTTTTTTTCTCCTACCTGAAAATCATATTGACAACTTTTCTATGACCTGTAAAGAATAAAAAAGGCATATATCCACATTTTTATTATTAGTTACCTGCAGAGTGTTTATGTTGTTTGTCAGTGAATATCAATTCGACATTTTGTTGGTCAGTATTAAGGCTGGAGGTAACCTTAAGGACATAAACCTAAAAATACTGCTGGATTTCCTCCTGTAAGAATCTCCACGCTGCCCTTGATTTGGTTTTACTGTTTTCAGTTCTAGTCATAATTGACCAGTTTTTTCCATCTACAGGATAGGCTAAAAATTATTTTTTAAAGGTCTTGACTTAATTGGTTTTGCTGTCCTTGGATATAAAACAGTTTACCGACAGATGGAGGAGTTGGTCCAAATATTAGTTTCTTGTTTTTGGATGTTCACCAAGAACTTGGGCTATGGCATATTTTCAGTGAATTAGTAAAATTTATGTAATGTGAAGAAAAATTTCTTCTTTAATAACTGAGTTCTTTTTAACTTCTGTTCATGGCTCATGTCTGGCCCATGTTTATTTTCAGTATCATTGATAGCTTTTTCTCTTTTACCCTTAAGGGCCATTCCTTAAAGGCATTATGAGTTGAGAGAATTATGTATGGATTCTCTGATGAATACATTGTTTCTGTCTGTTTGTTACCTCTTTCTGGGTATCAGTATATTAAAAGTTGCTCCCCCTTTACTTCTTTCTGAATCTAGCCATTTCAGATTGTTCCCTAGATATCTTAGACTCCAACGGGATGGACTTCTCTTCCAGACATCTCCAGAATTCTTATCTGAGGCAGCTAAATTAGTCTCATGATTAGCGGTTTTCAAAAAGTCTTTTGACTCTTGGAGACAGGTAGGAGTGATCTGGAAAGTCACTGGAGACTTACTGTGGTTTTTTAGAGGGGTGTACATTGCTCTCCCAGAAAATAAGAGGGAATAAAATAGCTACTTAGAAGCTTCTTGCTTGGCAAAAGGGGAGAAGTATTGACAGTATCTATACCCTCACACAATTTACTGTGGTTCTATTTCACAAGTTTAAGAGTTGGGATGGTTTTTTTTTTGTCATTTGCTTCTAACAAGTACACTGTCCAGGAGTTCAGGGTCATAACGGCACTATGTGTGAGTTATTGACAGGTTCTTTCACATGTCAGAAGGCTAAAGAAAATAAGAGAAAGATACTAAATGTGTCACAGAAGGAACTTCATGAAATGTCCCAAGAACCTTTCATTTTATTTACAGAATTTTAACTATGAAACTATTTTTCCTTTTAGCTTCCTTCTTATTTACTATTCATGAGTTGCACTTCAGGAATGAGTGGATTAGTTGAAATTTACCTGCTCAGGGCATTTTCAGATCACTCAGTAATATTAAGAGGTACTAGGGTATTTGTTAGTAGGGGGATATAAACTGAAACTCTGGGTCGTGCTTATCTGTATTCCAAGATCAGAGGTTTACTGACAAGTGACATTTGATAAGTTACCCCTTAAGAGTCAGTTGGGGTGTGGCGCCTGGGTGGACTCAGTTGGTTAAGTCTGACTCTTGATTTCTGCTGGGGTCATGATCTCAGGGTGGTGAGATTGAGCCCTACTTTGGGCTCAGCGCTCAGCAGGGAGCCTGCTTAAGATTCTCTCTCTCACTTGCTCCCTTTGCCCCTCCTCCCCTCTCAAAAAAAAAAAAATGAATTGAAAATCTGTGGGATCCAGAGGGCAAATATTTTTATTCAGTTTGGACCAAGGCCAGAACACCAATAGATGTTACATCAGAAGTCTTGCAAAGAGTGACCGTCATTACACACAGTTACATTATTGAGAATGGAGTCTAAGTATTGTCTGTCAACAAGTGCCCTGGATTTGGTGTGTGAGGTATTTACTGTCCGTACTTAGCAACATTTCCTTGACTAAGATTGTTTTACCATTTCCCTTTGTAAAGCCCATATTTTAAGGGTTGTAACTGGATGGTGGTTTTAATTTTTGTTTGAAACTTGGCCATTTGACTTGGAAAAATCACAAATTATTTGAAAGAAGTTTATTTTTATGGTAAGAAGTAGCTCTTGTCAAAGCTTTTTCCTGTGCTTTGCTTTCAAACGAAGGTTTACAGACCATTAGTCCATAATGTGAATTAACCCCATTTGGTATTTTTCCTTACCTTTAAAATGCTAAAGGACTGTTATTCACTTTGGTGAAGTGTTTACTGCATATTTACTGTAACTACCTAACATTTTAAAAATCTTATTTCTGTAGGACTTTGGCTTTATTATTGTAACTGCTCCAGAATGTTACACAGATGGCATAATAGACCCGAAGGCAGTTTTAGAGAAACATAGTGGCAATGTATGAAGTTAAAATCCATTTCCACAATGGCATCACATAATGGTCCCGGTTGACTGCCTCATCCCATGGGGCCTTGGCCGGAGTAGGGATAAGTGAACAGTTTGGGGGAAGATATGAATCCATTCAAATCTTGTCCCAGTTGTCTATATTAAGTCTGCAGGAGCAAAGAGAGTCTCTGGGTTTTCTCACCTGAACTTTTTAATTTTGTTTATTCAGCAATGGTAAAAACAGTACATACATATTTTCACTTATGTGTTGAGTGCCATCCCAGATGTCAAAGGAACTAAGATGGCCAAGGTTCCCTGCTCCGGAGGAGCTTACAGTCTGTCGGAGACAGATTCAGCAGCAAAGTGTGATAAACCAGATCCCACCAATCTGGTCAGGTTGTTATGGAAGCAAAGAAAGGGAGCCACGAACCACCTTTGTTTTTAGTAGACTATTTTTTAGAGCAGTTTAGGTTCACAGCAAAACTGAATGGAAGGTACAGAGATTTCCTATGTACCCCCTCCCCTGCTCCCATACCGGCACAGCTTCCCTCATTGTCAACATCCCCCACCAGAGTGGCACATTTGTTACAATTGATGAAGCTACATTGACAGAGCATTATCATCTACCGTCCACAGTTTACCTTAGGGTTCACTCTTGGTATTGGACATTTGTTGGACAAATCCATAATAACATGTATCCACCATTGTAGCATCATAGTGTACTTTCACTGCCCTAAATTCCTCTGTGCTCACCCTGTTTATCCTTTCTTCCCCACTATCCCCTGGCAAGCACTGATCTTTTTACTGTCTTTGTAGTTTTCCCTTTTCCAGAATGTTATATATTTGGAATCCTATAGTATGTAGCCTTTTCAGATAGGCTTCATCCATTTAGTAAAGTGCATTTTAAGTATCTTCTGTGTCTTTTCATGACTTGAATTTCATGTAAGTTTCATGACTTGTCTTTTTAGTGCTGAATAATATTCCGTTATTTAGATGTACCACATTTTAAAATTTTTTCTAAAGATTTATTTATTTATTAGAACGCAAGTGCAGGAGGGGCAGAGGGGGAGAATCTTCAAGCACACTGCCTGCTGAGTACAGAGCCTGATTCGGGGCTTGACCCCATGACCTGAAGGCCATGACCCGAACCGGAATCAAGAGTCGGATGCCTAACTAACTGAGCCACCCAGGCGCCCCAGAATGTACCGCATTTTAAGTATCGATTCACCTACTGAAGGATACCTTGGTTTCCAAGTTTCAGCATTTCTGAGTAAAGCTGCTATAAACATTCATATGTAGGTTTTTATATGAACGTAAGTTTTCAACTCCTTTGGGTAAATAATAAATATCAAGGAGTGTGATTGATGGCTCATATGGTAAGACTGTGTTTACTTTTGCAAGAAACTAACTGACTTCCAAAGTGCCTTACCATTTTGCATTCCCACTGACAGTAAATGAGAGTTCCTGTTACTCCACATCCTCACCAACATTTAGTGTTGTCAGTGTCCCAGATTTTGGCTAACCTGATAGATCTTGTTGTGGGTTTTTTGTTTTTTCTTTTGAGGTAGGGTGGAGGGAGAGAATCTTTTTTTTTTTTCCTAAGTTAGAGAGGTGGGGGAGGGGGAGAGGGAGAGAGAGAATTCCAAGCAGGTGCCATGCCCAGTGAGGAGGCTGACAGGGGGTCTCACAACCTGAGATCATGACCTGAGCCGAAATCAAGAGTCGGACACTTACCTGACTGAGCCACCCAGGAGCCCTGGTGTCTCGTTGTTTTTTTGTTTTTTTTTATAATAGCAAGCCTGGGTTTTTTGTTTTTTTTTTTAATTTTATCTATTTGACAGAGAGAGAGCACAAGTAGGCAGAGAGGCAGGCAGAGGGAGAGGGAGAAGCAGGCTCTCCGCCGAGCAGAGAGCCAGACGTGGGGCTCGATCCCAGGACCCTGGAACCATGACCTGAGCCGAAAGCAGACGCTTAATGACTGAGCCACCCAGGCGCCCCATGTCTCGTTGTTTTAAGTGGCATTTCCCTGATGACATAAAATGGGGAGCATCTTTTCATA